GTCATCCTCTGAAACCACTTCCAGGACTTTGAAAGAATCTTCAACTCTTTTCCAAAACTACCTGCTCCTTTGTGTCTTACAGCTTGTGTCACATGTCAGTACAGAAGAGTTCCAGGAATTCATTTTTCAAACAAATCTGTGCCAGATCTAAGTTATGGGGATATTTTTGCAATTTAAGTACTTTGACTAGGGGGCAAGACAAATCATTTATTTTGTTCTTGTGAAGTTCAGTTTAATCAAAATATTGAAATTACTTTTAAAGAAGTTTATCATTAAAATTCGACAACAGTAAAATAAATATTTTGTATTAATACATCTGGTAGTCTTTGTAGGACCATAATATTCAGCAGAAATGCAGTCTTTATGATTCTGTAGGTCTCCTTAGGCTTTTGGAAATCTTTTCTATTCAGTTGCAGTTATGAAAAGAACTGGATACTACTTCTGGAGCTGTAAAATTGTGTTTTACCTCTGTCTTCATTTTTGCCTTTTGTCTGTGTGGGTTCTCCAGCCTATTGCATCAAAGGAAACATGATGCAAAGTGTCTTTTAGTTACTGTGTGTCTTATCCAGAATGCCCTTTGCTCTGTAATGTTGTCCTGTATTCTTGTGTATTTAACAAGATTTTTAACATTTTATTGCAAGGAAAAATTGTGTGTTGTGATTAGCTCAATGAAAAAGCTTGAGAAATTTTTTTCCATCACTTGTCACTTGGGAGGTTAGTTGTAGTACTGTCGAGTTCTTTTGTATTCATACTCACTAGAAATATTTGTCAGTAGCATAACGGGTTATTCTGCCTGTTACATTTTGTCTTGAGGTAAAATGGACTCATACAAAGTCAGTCCCTAGTTTATAAGTAGCTTTCCCTGTTCCTATGACCTAATTAGTTTTTCCTGGGGTTTCTGTATGTGCTGGAAACTATTTGTGACTCTTTGGGTTGACCTATCTGTTTGCTGGATCTCAACCAGCCAATCACTACAGCTGATCACTGGATGACCTGCCATAGTGTGTAAGCTGTTAGTAGGTATCTCTGTCTTAGAACACAGTAAATTTGTGATCACATAACTTAACTGCTGTGTGGTAAATTTATTTAATGACAGATTCACACATTCATGCTTTTGTATCCTAATAAGAGCTGACTTGAGGTGGATACTCTGTATTTATTGAAGGTCAGGGTTTTTATAGCGTTTGTTAAATTCAATGCCAAAGCTGCCCTGCAGTGTTTGGGCATGATTATCTCCTTAACTGGGGTGACTCTACTTGATTTCACACATCTGAGCACTTCATGGTAGCAGGAAGGAACAACCCACCTTTGCATTTCAAAGCCCTTCAAAAAGTAATTAAATGTAATTCTTTTTATGCTTGCCATTTCTTCACAAAACAAGAAATTTCTCAACTCTTTAGAACTTTGAAAGGAGAAAAATGAGAAAAACTGGTATGAAACACGGGGAAGTATGTGAAGTCTCATTTCCCTCATCCATCTGATTCCTTTAGGCATTCTGATAACAACCATTGCCTCAAAAGGAGAATTACAGAATTGGCCTGAACTCTTACCAAAGCTTTGCGGTCTTTTGGATTCTGAAGATTACAATACCTGTGAGGTAAGGAGATATATCAAAACCAGGTTATAATCTGAATTTGATTATTATGTTTGTGTTTACATGTGCATATGTTCTCCTCAGAGAACAGTGGATCAAATTTGATACTTTGGCCTGAATTCTGTGCTCTTACTGTTCATTCAAACAAATTAGTTTGCTTTGCATAAAGGAGAATAAGACTGCAGATGGGTAGTCATGGCATCTCAACTGAGAAGTGTCCTGAAGTTACCACTTTGTGATGTCTAATGTTTTAGGCATCATCCCTCTCATGAAGTTAACCCTGATTTTTTTCTTACATGAAAGTAGTGTTCATTCGTTTTATAACTTAATCTGGAAAAGCTGTATTGGGGTGAAATAAACTATTGTTCAGTGTGTATGAAGGAAATTAAAAAATACCAAGTTAGCTGTTTTAAACTATGATGAGAAAAAAGGCCTTGTCTGATTTACAAATATCCGGGATAACGTGACTTTTAATTGCTTGATACTGTCTCCATGAGAGTGTGTGAAGCATTTTGTATAAAGTAATGCTCAGAGGTAGGAGAATGGTCCAGGATGCAATGCTGTTATGTGGGGTTTTAGTGCTGTTTTCTCAAGAAAAAGAAAAAAAACCAACCAACCACTTGAAAGTGGAACTTAAATTGACCATCATATCCAAAGCTCTGCCCCATAACAAAACATAAATGGAATACAATTATTTATATATTAAATGGGATACTTTGGCATCTGAACATTTATTTCTCAAATAAGAACCAGCTTTTAAGCATTTTTAAAAATATGATTGAATAGATGATCACTGAGTGCTAAAATTAAAATTACCACTTATCCATTAGTGACTCACTCAGCTTGAGAGTTTACAGATGCTGGTATAAAGTGCTTAAATAAAAACCCTTTAAGGACATTAAAGGACAGGCTGAGAAGGTTGTGGCTGTTCAGCCTGCAGAAGAGAAGGCTGTATGGAGACCTCATAGCAGCCTTCCAGTATCTGAAGGGGGCCTACAAGAATGCTGGAGAGGGACTCTTCATCAGGGACTGCAGCCAACAGGACAAGGGGTAATAGGTTTAAACATAAACAGGGAAAGTTCAGGTTAGATATAAGGAAGCAGTTCTTTACTGTGAGGGTGGTGAGGCACTGGCATAGGTTGCCCAAAGAAGCTGTGAATACTTCATCCCTGGCGGCATTCAAGGCGAGGTTGAGCAGAGCCTTGGGCAACATTGAACAGAGCCTTGGGCAACATTATCAGTGTGCGGCATCCCTGCCCATGGAACTGTATGATCTTAAGATCCTTTCAACCCTAACCACTCTATGATTCCTGTGATGTTCCAATTCTATATTTAGTTAGGTGCATTTATTGTGTTAAATACCTATATTTATTGTGTTATGCTGAAATTACCTGTTGTGTACAAAGCCTGAAATCTTGCTTTAATCAGATGTGAAAAAAATTTTTTTTGGTTTATTTGATGTTTTGTGGTTGTCTTTTTGTTTTGTTTTGGTTGTTTGGTGTTTTGGTTTTTTTTAATAGGGTGCTTTTGGCGCTCTTCAGAAGATATGTGAAGATTCTGCTGAAATCTTAGATAGTGATGTATTGGACCGACCACTCAATATCATGATACCTAAGTTCTTGCAGTTCTTCAAGCACAGCAGTCCAAAAATAAGGTAGGTTTAGGTGTTGTACTACAGTTACCTTTTTATTTATGTAACTTTTATTTACATGAGCAGCAAGATTTCTATTTGTAGATCTGTTTAAAACATGAATAGTTTTTCTTAAATGATGCTGCAGAGATCCAGAGATTCCATGCACCAGTAATTTCAGTGTTTATCTGCTTAGTTAATAAACTGTCTCACCTCTTTATACATTTTTTCCAAATGTACAATTAGCCTATGACTTTGAAAATCAAACTGTTTCTTTTAAGTTTTTGCATATGTACTGATTTTGGCTGGGATAGAGTTAATTTTCTTCCTAGCAGATAGTGCAGTGCTGTGTTTTGGCTTTAGTCTGAGAACAGTGCTGATAATACACTGATGTTTTAGTTGTCGCTAAGTAATGCTCTAGCTCAAGGACTTCTCAGTTCTGCCAGTGAGGAGGTGCATATAAAGCCAGGCAGGAGAGCAGAAACAGGACACCTGGCCTGAACTAGCCAAAAGGGTTTTCCATACCACTGAATATTATGCTCAGTGTGTAAACTGGGGGGGGAGTTAGCTGGAAGGAGCTGAACACTGCTCTGGGACAGGCTGGGCATTAGTCAGTGGGTGGTGAGCAGTTGCACTGTGCATCACTAGGGATTTTTTTGAGGATAGTTATTCTGTTCTCTCTCTTTATTGCCTATTATTTACATTTTACTTTATTTCAGTTATTAAACTCTTCTCAACCCATTTTTTTTACCTTTTTCTGATTCTCCTTCCTGTGCTGCTGCCAGGGACAGTGAGCAAGCAGCTGCGTAGTTCTTAGGTTGCTGGCTGGGCATAAGCCATGATAGCATATTATTATGAAAAATGTAGTGGTGTGGTTAGAACTTAGCCTTCTGTTCAGAAAGAACAATTTTGTATTCATTTGGTAATGATTTCAGCAATAGGAGAGTCAAAATTCTTTTGCTGATCGTAGTTTCTGAGATTTTGCAGGGAAAAAAAAAATCTGGTTTAACTGCACCAAAATTTAGAAAGCTCTTTATCTTTCAGCTAAATCAAATTAAATAGGTTCATCATCTTTTCACTGTAAACCTGTATTAATCTCTCCAAAGTAAAAGAAGTATCGAATAGAATGAAAATTCCAGAGTGAAACGTTTTTTGCTATTATTCGTTAGTAAGAACGGTAGGTCTTACCCTAAAATGAGGCAACACTGTACCACTGCCACAAAGAAGGGTGATGGTTTACTGTGCTGGAGTGTTACCAGCTGGTTAAAGGAGGTGATCCTTCCCCTCATCTTCCAGGTGAGGCCAGACCTAGAGTGTTGTTTCCATTTATGTGCTGTCCAGTGCAAAAGAGACATGGACATACTGGACAGAGTCCAAGAAAGGGGCATGTAGATGATGAAGTGACTGGTGCATCTCTCCTGTGAGGAGAGACTGAGAGACCTGGGGCTGGGAGAGCTTATCAATGTACATAAAAATCTGAAGAGAGGGCACACAAAAAAAGGCACGGCCAGGCTCTTTTCAGTGATGCCCAGTTGCAGGACCAGAGGCAATGGGCACAAACAGAAACACAGGAGGTTCCCTCTGAACATCAGGAAATATTTTTTTCCTGTGAGGGTGACTGAGTGGTGGAATGGGTTGCCCAGAGGGGTGGTGAAGTTTCCATCCTTGAAGATACTCAAAAGCCATCTGGGCATGGGCAGCTGGCTGTAGTTGGCCTTGCTTGAGCAGAGGGATTGGACCAGATGACCTCCAGAGGTGCCTTCCGACCTCAACAATTCTGTGATTGTGTGAAATGTATTTCTAACTCTTGTTTGAAAATTATATTGAAAGGTGCTGCAACTTGAAGGTGGCAGTTCTTTGTCACCAATAGTAGTAGTTGGTAAAGACAAAGAGGAGGGAGTATAACTTGTAATATATCATATGATTCAAACAAGATTTAGAAACCTGAAATAGATGCAGACTGAGAAAAATATGTAACAAAGCAGTATCTTGCTCTTGTGGAAATATGAATTTAGTACTTCTCTGGAGCTAGGAGAAATGGATTAAAACATACTTTTTTCCCTACCACATTATACAGTTTTTCACTTTTTTTTTTCTGTGCTGTGATGTTTGTATCTTGAAACTATTAAACCAGTTTCAGGTTTAAAGCAAGCTACTTGCTGACCTGCAGCCTTTTGCCAGTATAGTGCTGAAGCATGAAAACTTACTAGTGTCAATAAAATACTTTAGATCTGTCAAAAGACAGTTTCTGAACAATGTTTCATGAAAAATGTCTGAACAGAGTAGAAGTTTGGAGTTACTTTAGTAAAAATACTTTAACGGAACTTCGAAGGCTTTTACAGGTAAAGCCTTTTGCCTTTACTGATGGAATTTGACTTCTCTGTCTCTGAGAATAAGAAAGGCCTGGAAGTAATGGCTTTGCGTGAAATGGAGTAGAACCAATATTTCATTTTTTCATATGCTTCTGCCACAAGTGTTTTATTGTATCCTACTAGAAGTATGTCTGTGTTCTAAGCTACAAATACGTTGTTGACGCTTACTGGTCCCACTAAATATTAAAAATATTGCAAAGGCAATTGGATACTTAACAACAAAGAAGGGCTTTTAAAAATTTAACAAAGTTGGTTTGTATGGAATTGTTAGTATCTGAGAAGATCAATAATCATAAAATATTCAAAAAGATCATCCTTGCATGCTGCTTGGAACAAATATGCCAAACATCCTGCTTTAGTTTTTATTTACTGAAGACTTTATTTTAAAATATTCATTAGATATGTCAGAGTATAAGATGGTTATTAACTAAACTAGAGTTGGTTTAATTGGACTACTAAACTTATAACTGCCTTAGTAATTTTGCTTAGTTATACTATGGATGTGCAGATTTGTTCCCTCTTGATGATGACTGGACATTATAATTTGCTTCCTAATGTTTCTGATACCTATTTACAGTTTAAAAAATGTTTTTAACTCATTTAAGATGTCTGTTTTAACTGTTCCATTTGTAGATCTCATGCTGTTGCATGCGTCAATCAATTTATCATCAGCAGAACTCAAGCTCTTATGTTGCACATAGATTCTTTTATTGAGGTGGGTGTGCATTCTTGGTTTGGGGTCTAACTGTTTTGAATTATGTTTTACAACCACCTCTATCCCCAAACTCCCCATTTCTGGTTGCGTATTTTGAAAGATGCTTCCTCTCTATGAGTAGAGTAAACTTTTGCTGCAGAAAGGTGTAAAAGTAATGGCACTTAGCTGCGGTGGAAAGTGCAGTCAGTACAAGGATTATCATGTCACTGAGTCCTGTGTTCCTCTGAATACTGCTACTGAACATAGATTAGAAGGGTGGTACTTTGGGTTACCTAGAGTATTTGATTTGTCCTCTTATGTACTGATGAAGCTTTCTAGTCTCAAAGCTTCATTTATGTTTAAGAGAAAAAAAAAACCCAAGCCACTGTTCTTTTCCCAGTGTTAATATTATGTAATGTTTTGGTTATGCGTACAATACATATTGAGGGTCTGAAGAGTTCATTTGCTAAACCATATGTCTTTAAGAAGTAAAATGGTATTCTAAGATGTGGGTCGAACAGTACAGAAGTACGTTTTTCTATACTTCAGTTTGACAGTAACGGCTATTTAAATACAAGTTGAACTACATGAACTGAGACTTTTCAACTGGTACTACTTCCCAACAGAATCTTTTTGCACTGGCTGGTGATGAGGAGCCTGAAGTACGCAAAAATGTTTGCCGTGCTCTGGTAATGTTGCTGGAAGTTCGAATGGATCGCCTGCTTCCTCATATGATTAGTATAGTTGAGGTGAGTCTCATTTCCCAGATTGTGTGCTGAAAAAAAAATGTTTGGGGTTGCATGAATAGTAACAAATAAAAAGCATTCATCAGAACTATTATGTTACACTTGCAGTTGTCTACTCTTCAATTTTCCTTCAAAACTGAGATTGCAAAACTTTCTTCTTACCTAATTGCCAACTCAACACAGTATTTGACAGGCAATGCATAGAACACTTGTATACTCTTCCTTCATTGATCCCGAAATGGCTAGGATCAGTTCTACTATAGAGCAGCCAGACACTGCTGAACCCTAATTTACAAGATCTTGTTAAAAGTCCAGTACTTATGCTGATACTGTGGTAGTTTACACATTGAAGCTGTCACTTTTTGCAGATGTGTTGATCATTACAAGAATAAGGCTTGTTATTTTATATAGCTGAGATACTCTTTGAGCATTCAGTTGTAGAGGTTAGTGTGATAGTTCCTTTACCATTCTAGACTAGTGCAGACTTGTCTACCAGCAGACCAGTCAGCTCTGTTTTTTTGTCTGCTCAACTGGTTAAGATGTGAATAATTTCCAAATTTCTGTGAAATACCAGCAGTTTCTAGGTAGTGTTTAACATATGCTACTTGCCAGACCAGAAGTACAGCTAAGATCATAATGTTTCTCATGTAGATTTCATGTGGACAAGTGGGTCATAACCCGGTGTCAAATTCCATAAAGACTATGTCCAGACAACACAAAGAAGGTGTTAATGTTTTTCTGCTCCTATACATAGGCATTAGAGATGCATAAAACTGAGGTGACCCTTGACAGCCTTGGCCTGCTGTCTAGTCTTCCTGTATGGTGTTTGTAATTTATTGTGCTAAAGCAACTATTTGCATTGCCTAAAGCAGTAGAAATTTTTCATTAAAGGTACTCATTAAAATTTGGCATTACAATATTAAAAATAAAAATAAAAAAAAAATCCTCTCTATAGTGTGCTTTGTTACTAGGGCCACTGTTCTTTGTTCTTTGTTTTCAGGCTGTGTATACAGCTTACACCCCTGAGTGTAACTAGCCTTTTCAGCCTACCACTATCTTAACTTCAAGGACCATATAGTCTGATACTTATAATAGATACTTAAAGCGGAAATGACAGTGTGAGGGGCATTGTCAAACAGTCTACATTTTGTCATTCTGTGTTCTTGACGAATAACAAACTTACAACAAAATAGTGGATTTTCAAGCCCTTTGGGGAAAATGCCCATGTGCATTAAGGAAGCCTTGCTTGCAGTGAGTAGGACATTCTTCAGCTTTACTGAAATACAGTCTGTTGACAACACAGAACAGGGCAGTATTTCTGTTTGTATGGGTTCTTAATCACAATAGTGACTCTTTAGGAAAGCTCAAGATATGGTTCAATTCTATAGGGTGGGGTTCTGTTCTTAGCAAGTTTTTCATCCTTGAAATAAATTGGGATATTAAAGGTTCCTCTGTTTTATTTAGTTTTGAGAATAAATGGTATTTTGAATCAACTGAAGAGGGATTTCTTTTGCTCTAGATCCATGTGCAAGGAAATGTAGCTCCATGGACTTCCATGAGGTTTTCTAAAATGAACAGGAGAATCAGTTGTATCAGAAATAAGGGCTGGCATGGAATGTTTTGGTAGTTGTGTATAACTGTTGTAGCAGTAGTCAACTTAGCTTTTTCTTTATGCAGGTATTTGATTATTTTTGATTGAAGGAGGACTAAATTTTAGTAGCAGGCTTAAAGGTTTGATATTGAATCTGTGAATTGCAGTCATGAGTGAAAATCTGACGCTTCCTTCCCCACCCCCCACATTGTCATCCGGTCAAATAATCAAGAATTGGAAGGGAAGTTTCTTTATGGTACTGTAAATAAAAAGTATTTCCATCTCATTAAGGGTATATTTGTACCTTTTGATTCAAAACTGCAAAGGGGCAGTAAAAAAATATATATATTTGCAGGAAACTGCTGTTTATTATACTAGGTCTCTTCAGTTGCTTGGTAATGGTGTTCTCACTTAAGCAGTGGAGAAATTTAGAATCTGAATCATCTAGTATTAATAAAGAAGTCTCTTAGCTTATTCTCACAGTAGTCGTAAGTACTGTTTCATGTCTGTTTCTTCCTCTCACCCCAGAGAAACTATGGTAGCATAGTCTGGTTTTGTGACCATAATTTGCAATGTTGGTAACTTCTGGACACTTGAAACTTCTGTCTTATACATGTAATACATTTTTATATTGTGTAGTACATGCTTCAGAGGACCCAGGACCAAGATGAAAATGTGGCTTTGGAGGCTTGTGAGTTTTGGCTGACTTTGGCTGAACAGCCAATTTGTAAAGAGGTGTTATGTCGGCATCTTACTAAGTAAGTATTAAGAATTGTAACTCCTTTTTATTTTGAAATAGTAATCTTGAAACTTCAGTTAACTTCCTGGTTGGTCTTACAAAGACTGAATCTAGCTTGTGGTATGCTTAGAAGAATTTTCTTGTAGCTATTTCCTGTGTGCAGTAAAAATGACTGTAGCACAGAGTTCACTGAAAGGACTGCGGAGGATTTCAGACCCAGTGACTTCCAGAAGCAATTCAGATTGTATCACTGTGATGCTTTACATGAAGCTTAACAGACTTCACATGGATGCAAAAATGTGCTAATGTGCACTTAAGCTCAAACAAACATCTTTACGTGCCATTACCTGTCATATATGGTATGCCGTGAGCACGTTGTCTTGACTACCACTGAGGTAGCCATCTCTGTGCAATGCTTCTATGTGCAGAGCCATGTAAAGAATGTTCCCTGTTTTAGAAAGAACATAAAACATAATGACATCATTGGATTTAGGAATCAATTTTGTATCAGTTGCTACTGCAATTTAAACTTGAAGAAAGTGTGTACAGTATGTTCCTTTTTACTTCTGCAGCCTGATAGTCATATAAGTTTCAAAAAATGCCTCAAAATATAGGTCTTTGAATGGGAATCAATATCCGTATTTGAGATGTAAACAATCAGCAGAAGTTTGGTTTTCGTAAGCAATTAGAAAGTTGATAATTGAGATTAAAAAACCTGCTGTAGCAGTAGAAGGAGTTGAAAACAGGAGAACCAATTCTATGAGAAGTGATTTTAAATTATAGAATGGTTTTACTTTTTCCTACTCTCGTAGCTCAAAAAACAAAAGAAGGGTAGCACAATTGAGTGTCTGCCCACATCTCAATACACGTCATGTTTATACTGAGAATAACAGTAGTTTATTAACTACTGGTATTAAACCTGTCTTGGTCCACATGAATATTGACACTGAAGTGTCATACTAATTTTTTTAAGCTTTTAAATTTCTAGAAGAACAAATGCATAAGAGTAACATGACACTTCTCTCATAACCTTTCAATGTCGTGTTGTGCAAAGCAGCTTTCTTCTTGGTGAGTCCTGTTTGACTTGGGAGTGATATAAGTTTATAAATACTTGATGATAATCTTTTTTCTTTTTTATGTTCAGTTAAAAGTGGAACATGATCTTCTAAAAACCCACTAATGTAGTATCTAATATCTTTTTTTTTAGCTAATATCTTTTTATCCATTTAGCTCCCATAAGCTTTTTTAATGACATATGTAACTCCTGCAGAAGTATACTGCAGAAATGACAATGAATTGTTGATATGTATACTTACATTCCTTCATTCAAAATTTAGAAGGTAATGTGCCATTGCAATGCATGAATAATACTGCTGGCCTAGTACCTTCAAAAACAATACTTCTCAGCTGCAGAATATAGAGAAATTGAGTCTGTCAGTGGGGCTGGATCAGTCCATGGTCATTATCAGCTTGATTTGGCTTCTAAGGCATATTTTTAGTGGAGAATGTGGTTTGATGTGAAGTATATACTCTCTCTACATCTCTACAGCCATACATAGCCATAATCAATTTAATAATGAAGTAAATTTTAATTTAGATCAATCAAGATCTCTGCAATGTTGGAGACTTGTCTTACTGAAGTAATGACAGAAAGATAGGAGGGCTTCATGTAGTCTTCCATTTTAAGATGAAAGTAAGGTAGAGTCTTCAACCACAAGTAAATAAAGTGACAAGTATTATTTGTGAGACCAAACTTGTTTGTCGTGCATATAATGGGAGTTTGAATTCTTACTGAAAACTTCTAGACTTAATTTTTGAAAGGTGATTCAGAATAAATCATATGGAAGAATATCTGTTTTTTTAAATTTAAAACTCAGTTATGCCGTCTGGCTCCCTCTGCTTAAAAATTTGTGATTTGCAGTTAACACTTTCAGATTACAAAGTATCCATGAACCTTATGGAGCTTGGTTTAGGTACTAGCTTTGGTTATCAGGTTAAGTTGTTGGGGGGTTTATTATTTTGGGGATGAAGGTTACAACCAAGATTATAGTCCAGCTAACTGAAAACTGGCTTGCTTTTTTTATGTATTATTTTGACATATATCAATATTTCTTTGTAGGCTGATACCTGTGCTGGTAAATGGTATGAAATATTCAGAGATTGATATTATTTTGTTGAAGGTGAGCATCAGCTTCTTTCACTGTGTAAGAATATCTGGTTAGCTTCCGACCTACAAATCAGAATGATTCAGATCAGAATGGGCAGATCTGTCCTACCATCTATTCAATGGAGAATTAGCCTTCAGGGGCGAGGTGTGCTGTTTCAACACTAAATACAACTGCTGGCATGTTTGTTGCAAAATAATCTGCAGGCTTTCCTGCTTTGCCTTATTCCCTCCCATCCAATTTAGGCAGAATTAAGATACTATTACCCATGAACTACTGCAACAGTGCAGCCTAAAAAAACACTTCATAATTACTTCTAATGCCTTTAGATTGAATACACAGCCTTTTCCAGTGCTACATTTTAGAATATGTCTGTGTACCAGAATTTCCCTATTGCTATTTTTCTACTTTATTCCATCAAGAGTAATTTCTTAAAAAAGATAGATACTTTGAGTGTGAGTTTACCTTTCTTGCTTCTGTGTTCCTGTTGTTTCTGGTAAATGTGGCAGCAGAATGGAGGAACAATGGAACAATTTAGTTAGCTGGGCAGCACAAGTGGGATGTTAATCTTCTATATGTTTACAAAATCTTGAACTAAAACTACATTTTTAACTTCCTTGGCCAATATAGTTGGAGTAGTTTATCTGATAAAACATTTTGGTGACAGGGGGATGTTGAAGAAGACGAAGCTATTCCAGATAGTGAACAGGACATAAGACCTCGTTTTCATCGTTCACGGACAGTGGCTCAGCAACATGAAGAAGATGGTATTGAAGATGATGATGATGATGACGATGAACTTGATGATGATGATACTATTTCTGACTGGAATTTAAGTATGTCAAAGTAATGTGTAAAATGTTTCAAAATAGAACTATTTATGTAGTAAAAGAACCACAGTAAAAAGAGTACTTTGTAGGAATATTGAGAGTATGGAATATGGAGGGGGAGTCTTGACTATGTAACTGGCAAAAGTTAGCCATCTGTAAGCTTATTTCTTATTTTGAATATGGCAGATCGAGCAACAAACATTTATGGGATGCAGTTCAACAGAACTTTTGGACTTAATATTTTATTTCTACAAGATAATGAAAACCATGTATCACCTGCTTAATGTCAATCAAAAAATAACAAACCCCAACCCTTTACATACTGATAGCTGTAGGAGGCTTAATAATGCTTCTATTTACTTCAGTCTTCCCTCTAAAATCGGTTTATGTGTTTTGTTTTGTGGTTTTTGTGGGGTGTTTTCTTTGTGCCTTTGTTGTTTGGGGGTTTTTTTCCATATGAACATGCTACCACTGACAGCCATTACTAGTAGTTCTATTCTATGTGATGAATTTGCTTCTGACCAGACTGTAGTACATTAGTTATAAAGAGAGATATAGTTATCTTAGTTATTGCAGGAGATACGTCTGAGGAAGCCACAGTTGGTAGCCTGTGTGCAGGTCATAGGACCTTCAGGCCAATAGGCCATTATGATAAGGAAAGAAAACACCACAAACTGATTTTTAAGCTCAATGATAGAAAATAGAGAGTGAAATTATGACAAATCTGACAGATTAATTTTGCGAGCAGTCTTATTGTGGAATAATGTTTTGAGTTTCAGATACATCACATAATTTTTTTTTCATTCCAAGGCCCTGAGTTTTCACAAAAGGTTAATGTACCTTAAAGCTTATGGATTTTGAGACCATATGCTGTTATTATTATTAAAATTAATACAGATAAGCTTGTTTCTATAAAGGCTCTTTTTAAAAATAGTGTTGTTTTATATTCATAATGCTGTTCTGGTCACTGCTATATGTAGAGATTGCAGAATTAAACACATGTTTTCTGAAAAAGATAGCTGAAATGACAGAGGGTGCCCTGTGGTCTACAGTTTTGATTAAGGTAGTAAGGAAGCTAAAGTTTATCAGGAATGGGGGCCTGAAAGAGAAAGAGCAGAACTGTTAAGAATCTGTATTAACATATGTTATCTAGACTTGAGGGAATTTGCATTATCTGAAAATCAGAATTGCGTGCCCTACTTCTTATCTGGTGTTCTATATTTGACTTTCAATTTGAACAGAGAGGAAGCATCAGTGCAGCCTGATAATTAGTATCATTGCTTACTGATGAGATCAGTTGGATCCAGCGGAACTGAGGTTATAATGAGCAAGAAGTGTGTTATAAATTGTTATATGAGCATTCTTTATAAAAATACCTTCATGTTATTTTTACTAGACATGACAACATGCAGCAGGAAAGAAAGAGTAAGGATTTCTGATTCATATTCAAAGTTGTTGCTGATTTTTATGAGTTTTTGTTTGCTAAAAATTTGAGATTAAAACTTGCAGGCAAATTTTGTGGTGTTTCTTTTCATATTGGTGTATCACAGCAGAGGAGTAAGGTATAAAAGCTCAGAGCGGAGGCCAGCAAATTCCTTTTAGTCTGTATAGAGTTGAATCATTTTGCCTTTTTTTTTACTTTGAGGCATGGATTGGTTTTCAGCTGTTTAATCAAGTGCTAGTACTTGTAGGCCATTTCTCATTAGTTTATCCAGTATGCTACATTCATGTCCCAGACCTTCCCTTTTCCTTTATTATGCCATCCCGAAATCATGTAGTGTATATATTGTTGCAGTATCATGGAGTGGTTCCTGTCAGTGAGGATTTTAATATTCCCAGTGTATAAATCCTGGCTGCAAAATTTGCTTTCTTAGAGCAGTGGTTTTGCACCAGAGCATAGTGGATCACTGTGTATTGTAATGAAGTGGAAATATCTTTTAATGCCCTGAGACTCCGCTGGCAGCTTAAAGTTAAAATGAGGATTATATTTCCTAACTACAACTACTTGTGTAATAATCATAGATTAACACTGTTAATTCCCCTCAGGGAAGTGTTCTGCTGCTGCTTTAGATGTCCTGGCCAATGTATTTCGTGATGAACTTCTGCCACACATTTTGCCCCTTTTGAAGGAATTACTCTTCCATCCTGAATGGGTAGTTAAAGAATCTGGTATCCTTGTTCTTGGAGCAATTGCTGAAGGTAAGGCAACAGTGCATATCATGTTGCTGAATTTTTGATCAGTTGCTTCCAGGTGAATTTACATATGCAAACAAGTGTATGTCCTTAGCTGGTTTGGTTTCATTGATTAATCTTTACATCTGCTAATTGGTGAGTGGAGTTATTTAACTTTCATTTTCAAATCTATGCATGTTTGGGAGGCAAAATAGCGTCAGTAATTTGTTTTGTTTTTCCCTTTCTTAACTCTGCAGCATGTATTTATTGGTCTTTCATGAAATACTACCTTGATTTCCTAGAAGAGGAATATTTAATAAATTTGAGCCTTGTATTTCATTTAAGTGTTTTCAGAAACAGAGAAGACACTCCTGTAATCTCTGCTCTGAGCTCCTTTTGGTGGATGGTTCTCCAATTTAAATATGTTGACTTCTGTTATTTTGTGTTTACGTATTCTTGCTTGGCTTTTTGCCTGTATTTTCAGCATCTCTGTCCTTTTTGCAAGCTGAAGAAATACAGTTGGGTCTATGCCTAGATTATCATCCTTTTCCCACAGTATCTCATGAACAGTTTTCTTTTTAATAGAAAACTTTGTTTTAAGTTGCGAAAGGTAGATCTTTGCTGACTAGAAATGTGCTGTTTTTCTTTCTGGTCAGTATTTGTATATTATGAGAAAACAAGAAAAAGATTAAGTTTCTTAAGGAATCCTTTTTAATGATGTGATGATTAGTTGTCAAGTCTTTCTATACTTGTTGTATTGGTTACTTTGAGTAGACTGACAAAGGACCTCCAGGCTTTATAAACTGATTTTATTTGGGTGAACTTGCCATACTCCATTTAATAAGCACAATTTCTGGAGATTGGGGAAGCACTGAAGTAGAAATGTGGCTGAAATGATTGGAGATTTTAATAATCTTTTTTTATGTAAGGTTTCTTTTTAGCACTTAATATAAATTAGGTAGGCTTTGTATATTGTAAAATTGTATTCCTACATGATAGAGAATGAAAATATGTCCCTTCTAGGAAACAAAAGAACTTTTTGTTAATTCTGGTACTGCAATAGGTATATTTTTCCTCCTAGGCTGCATGCAGGGGATGATTCCGTATCTTCCAGAGCTGATCCCTCACCTTATTCAGTGCCTCTCCGACAAAAAGGCTCTTGTGCGCTCCATTACATGCTGGACTCTTAGTCGCTATGCACACTGGGTAGTTAGTCAACCCCCGGACACATACTTGAAGCCATTAATGACTGAGTTGCTAAAGCGTATCTTGGATAGCAACAAGAGAGTACAAGAAGCTGCCTGCAGGTAAGCCAGAGCTTAAGCAAACAGTACTATCCATGACACTTCTTCTTCATTGGAAACTATTTTAATGCCTTTATCAATCAATGCACAACTCCATTTCTTTCTTTTTGAAATTGGAGTAAATTCATAGTTTTCTGGAGTAGTCACAAGTTATTCCACATTGTAATAACTTGAAAAATGTTATTTTGTATTTCTGTTGTCCAGTTTTTGTTTTCAAAGTATATGACTCACCAAACTAAGTTATTGTAGTAAAAGAAATTGTCTGTTTGTGACACTTCTTTATTTTCAATATATGATATTTCATTTACCAGAAATCTGGGTGGTCTTTAATATGCCTATGAAAAAGGTCAATACTGATCACAATGGTATACTATCCTATCATTGGATAACTGATTTTGTTTATATTTAGCTCAGGATTACCAAAACATTTGGCTTATGATTATTTCCAGGGATAGTCTCTTTCTCTTGAAGGGAGATCCTGGAAGATAAGATTCCCTTATCTCCCTTGTCTGCTGATACAACGAATTTAATGAAACGTGCTTCATAAGATTTGCATATTAAACCCTTTCCTTTTTGCCTCTAAACCTTTTCAAGCATTGGGCTAGCAAATACCTTAGGCTTTAACACCTGTTCCAGTCTGTCTTTTTGTAGTGATGATAATCTGTTTCAGCAGGAAAATGGTGCTACAAGACTAATAGATTCAGACTGCTTCTCCCCCTGAAATCTGTTAACACTTTTCTTACCCAAAACTTGGTTGAAATGTGCATGTAGTTAAACACAGCTGCGTTGCAGTTCTTAAATAACCTCATGGAATTAGTAAAAACAACAGTACACCTGTTTGGGGGTTTTATTTAAAGTTCAAGATCAGATTTATAGCACGTTTTGAAATACTTTCTTTAGAGCAGAGATTCATTAAAGTTACTGTTGCAGGTAAAAAAATCAATTGTCTGAGAAACTCAGCTTAAGGAAAATATAAAGCTGTTACAAGTCAAAACATTTACTAGCTTTCTAAATTTCAAGAAAATACAATGTTCTTTCTTGGAGGGGGGTAGAAAGCTGCTTTCCTGCAGTGAATAGTTGCACAGATTGTTAGTGTCTATCAAATTGAAAATTAGTCATAGAATACTCTGTGTTTTCCATCGCTAACCTCTCTATCATAACAGATGTCTAACATTCTTTTCTGTATTGTGGAGAAACTGCTCCCTGCTCCTTTAATTGGTGACACCCAAAACCATATTCTATAAAAACATATTTTCCTGCTCATGTTATACGCGTTTCTGAAAAAATAATTCATAATAACACAATAGAATAATAGATAAATAAGAATGCTAGCTACTTAGTGTTCACCATTGCGTTGTGTTAAGAAAAAAGCATTTCTGTATTTGGTAGCATGCTAATAGGGGATTGTTTGCCTCATGTGGTGATGCATGCATTTTTAGTGCAGAGACAGACTAACAAGCTAGGCCAGTAAATCTTCAATAGCTCATAATTTTTTCCTTTCTCTACTGTTTTTCTAAAGCAGCATGTCTGGTGTGGGGGCTTTTTTTTGTTTGCTTTGGGTGGGTTTTGTTAATGCTGTTGTTCAGACACTTGACAGACAACTTGAAAAGTTTTTCCATGGTGCTGTGGTGTGTGCTTTGACCAAGGCCTGCTAAAAGTGTTCATCCTCTGTCTTTGTTTTTAGTTTTCCGTTTCTTTATGTATCTGGTTTTTGTGACTCTTTTTTTTCCCCCATGACATTTTGTCTGTGTGAACTACTGAAAGTACAGGCTGATGTTGGCACTCTACTGGCATAACAGCACTTGGGCTTCTATATGCAGTTGCAGCATAAAGAGAGTGGGCCGTTTTTAACTGAAGTGAAAAGATCTTCTAATGGTTCCTACTATTTCAGTTAGTATACTGGAACTTGTTTACAGTAATGTTTTTTGGTGGGGTTTTCATGCATATGCACAACAGGTTTTATGGTAGTATATTTTAATTTTGTTCATTACGGTATGAACTGAATCTTCCATGTTCAGTCAAAATAGATCAAGGTTGTCTCAGTAACACCAATCTGAAAACATTTTGGATGAATTTAAGGACTTAAAAATACAGTTTTATGTTTAAACAAAAGTGGGTAGTGTGGGGCATTTTGGGGTCATCTTAGTTTGTTTTTTCCAGAATAGTAACTGACCTGTTTTTTTCTCTTCCTCAGTGCCTTTGCTACTCTAGAAGAGGAGGCTTGTACAGAGCTTGTTCCTTATCTTGCATATATACTTGACACTTTGGTCTTCGCATTTAGTAAATACCAGCATAAAAACCTGCTCATTCTTTATGATGCTATAGGAACTCTAGCAGATTCTGTAGGACATCATCTAAATAAACCAGTGAGTATACCTTATATTCTGTAGAAGCACTCCTCATAACTGAAGAACTGGTTCAGTGTTTTTTGAAGCATGATTTACATGCTATAAAACAGAAATACTATTATTTCTGTGTAGGTTTCAATAACACTAAATATGTACGGGTAAATTAGGTAGACTGCATATACACAAACATTTGCCGTTTTGAATACATGATTCAGTGTGGTGCTGGCTTGTGAAACATGTTTCTTACTGTGATTTTTTTTTTCTCATGCTCAAAGTTTTCCAGCTCAGAATAGATATGTATCTCAATATAGATGTGAAATGGGACTTCAGAGAAATTGACAGAATGTGTGTTTTAATTTCTAATGACCACACCATTTTCAGTAACCACTTTTAAGCATAGCTAAGCTACCCCGTGTGTCTCTTTCTAATGTATTGGAGCACACTGTCGGTAGAAATGGCTTTATCAGGGAGACACACATTTTATATATCAAAACACAGAATCCTTTGGACAAAGGACAGAAAACACACAGGCAAATATAGTGGGATTTTTTTTTTTTAGTGTACATGTATTAACTAATGGAATATGCATACATGTTGCATGTGTGCAACTTATGATGGTGATTGAAATTTATTTCTCTGTAGCGCTTCATATGACATAGACACACTAGAATAAATTTTTTCAAGCTGTTTCCATAGCATTTTGCTTGCAAGTGAAGATCCCACACCATCAGAAGACCTCTTTTTCAATCTCTTTGGCTCTAGCCACCTTAACATTTAACAGTACCAGGAGGAAGATAAATGGAAGCTCCTGGTGATGGTGAGACTTCAGTCACACACAAGTTTGTATCTCTGGACACAGCATTAGCTGGTAGCATGTTGGCTCTTTAGATACCTTCTGGGAGTAACAGCATAGTAGGGATGCCTTGCTCAATGTCCTTGTGACTCTGGCTGTACAGTGACAGGGAAGTTACAACATGCAACAGTGTTATACAGAAGGGGTAAGTGCATACTTCTGGAGGGATAGGAAATTACTTTCTTCATGGGTAGTTGTTGAGAAAAGCAAGTGGCAGATGCAAAGCCAGACTGCATTCCTAGTAAAAACATTTTCCATAGGCCCTGAGGCAATCATACAGATTTGTAACAACTCAGGAACTCCAAACCTGGAGGAGCAGATTCACTCTGCAAAGAGACTTATGTACTTCAGCAATAAATCTTAGAACACAAATGGTAAATTCGAATATTGAACTATATATGCATATTTCAGCAATGATTGAATGACATTATAACAGGATTTTTTTTCTGAAAAAGTGGAATATAAATTCATAATACATAATTTTCTAGCTTTGAAATAAAATAGTATGTAGTGAAGTGTTTCAGCAGTTGGTGTATTTTCATCCTAAACAGGAATATATTCAGATGCTAATGCCTCCATTAATCCAAAAGTGGAACATGCTGAAGGATGAGGATAAAGATCTCTTCCCTCTATTAGAGGTAAATGTTAGAATTGGAATATTTTTTTATCAACTTATCTTAAGAATTATACTTCCTACTAAAGATACTCCTACTAAGAAGTAAGACTATAAAAGTTGAGAGTGCTAGGTATTTCCTATTATGAAGAAAGTATTCTGACTGTAGGAGGAAAATTTTGTGCCTGAGGAATTGTCATTAGGTTTAGATGAAGTCTTTTAGATTTTTATTGTTTTTGATTTGGTTTGTTGTTTGGGGTTTTTGGGGTTTTTTTTTCTGCCATTCTGGAGCATTTGATGGGATTCTTTGAGAGGAAAAGATGTTCTATCCTTTTATTCTTGTCTTCTCTCTCCTTGCTCCCCCTTCATCCCTCCATTAAAACTATTGTCAGGCGAGCTGAAAGTATGAACTGGATCATGTAGTCTATTCTCTGTACTTTTCAAGTCTGAAACAGGAAAGCACCTCTAGAAAAATTAATTTCATAACTCTTAGGTAATGTTAGGGTTTGTACATACTCAAGATACTGAAGCTTAATATAAGCGCTGGCAGAATTGTCGTAACTGGTGTGGTATGCAGTATATTGGCTACGTCTAAGAAGATGATGCTGCTGAGAAATTTTCTCAATGGCATACAAAGAAGAGAGTAACAACTTGCTGATAGTTGCCTTGGCTCAGCTAACAGGTACCGCCTGTCTAGGTTGTGTTTACTTAATGAATGAGTTACATGTGGGTATACTTAAAACACTAATATATTTTAATTTACTGCTTCCAAGTAAAAGGCACTTCAGGAATGTGAGGAAAGGTTATGACTTTTTTCTGTCTTTTTTGTTAATTCCAGTGCCTGTCGTCAGTTGCTACTGCCTTGCAATCTGGCTTTCTTCCATACTGTGAACCTGTGTACCAGCGTTGTGTAAATCTGGTGCAGAAGACACTTGCACAAGCCATGGTATTTTTCTATTGCTATTCCAATGCTTGCATTATATCTCCTTAACCCAGTGTATTAACTATATAAAGTTATGGGTTTGCAGAGAAATTTGCAGAGTAACTATTGAATATGTAAATGACACTGCAGTTCTGAAACTTTTTTTTATGCATACCCCTGAGAAAAATATAATACGTTGAAAACATGTTCTTATTTGTTGCAGTTGCATAATGCTCAGCCAGACCAATATGAGGCTCCAGATAAAGATTTCATGATCGTGGCTCTTGATTTACTCAGTGGTTTAGCTGAAGGACTTGGAGGCAACATTGAACAGCTAGTGGCTCGTAGTAATATCCTGACGCTAATGTACCAGTGCATGCAGGTGAGATGAATAACCTGTTTGATCTAAGGATTTTCTTTCTTAAGAGAGTCAGAAACACTTCTAGAATTGTTGTTGGTTTTTTTTGTTCTTCTCTTTAGGATAAAATGCCAGAGGTACGGCAGAGTTCTTTTGCATTGTTAGGTGATCTGACAAAGGCGTGTTTTCAGCATGTTAAGCCTTGCATTGGTATGTTTCTTTTACATATTAAATAATTGTCTTACAAACTGATAAGAGGCTGGTTTAGCTATTGTTTAGCTCCTTATTCTGTGGGTTGCCTTTTCATGATGTAAGTTTTCATTTTCCTTCATCAGCAACAGTATCTAGTCTTTTGTCTTTCAAATTGTGTGCTTAAAACACATGTTCTTATTTTTGTAGACAGTGCAAAAGTTAATTTTGTTCTTGATTTTTATGATGTAACAAACTGCCTGTTGTGCTGGAATACAGCAAAACACATGTACTTCAATTAGTATAGTTGCTTGCTTTGATAAATTCTTGAATTTACAGCTTTTTTAATTCTATTAGAATATACTGTTATATAAAATTATATACATAAAGTAGAAAACTTGGCATGAAGGAACGTTTTTGGATGGTTTTTTTGCTTTAATAGCAGTAAGGAAGTATCATCAGTTATACACTTCCATGATGTTTGCTGGCTTTACCCACAGATACTCTTGAGATAAACTTAACTTGCCAAGAGAAAGCTTGGATAGGCTTGGCATTTAGAATTTATTTGGCTGGTGCTATAATCTATCATTGTAACTAATTTTTTCTTCAAATTTAATCAAAGATGTGATTGCCTCCTAAGATATTTTTTTTTTTTTTTTTTCCCCAAGCATAGCCGAGTACATAGCTACATAGCTGTCCAGGTGATTTGAGGGTTGTTCAACTATACCATAAATTTACAAGCACTTGTAGCTGTTTTTTATTCTCCCCTCTTACCCTCACTCCCCCTACCCAAGCAAAGGAAGGGGAGAAAAAAGGTTTCTAGAGTTACATAAAGCCTATTAGAAACATTTTTAAACCAGAATTTGGAAAGATCTGCATTGGTCTGCTTAGATTCTAAAATTCAGGTTAATCTGACATATAGCAGAAGTATAGCTCTTGTAAATTCATGTGTAACACTTTCAAGCATTTAAATAGGCTTACATTATTTCTTTTAAAAACTTCTCTTCCCCCTCCCCCTCACCATGATCTTACAGTAACGGGACAAGAGGATTATATTGTGTGATGAGATTTTAAAATGTTGTTCTTTCTAGCTGATTTCATGCCAATTTTGGGAACCAACCTAAACCCTGAATTCATTTCTGTGTGTAACAATGCCACCTGGGCAATTGGAGAAATCTCCATACAGATGGGTAAGATGTTTTTTTCCTTGAATCTCTGCACGTTTAGCATGATTTGGGGGGGGGGGGCACTGTGATACTTTCATGTAAAAATTTAAATAAAATCCAAAAGTCTTGTTCTTTTTTTAGTAACTTCAGTTAGTTCCAGTTTAGTAAGTACCCAATCTATTTAGATTATGTGTATTAAAGCTCATTTTCTTCTGAATATTCTTTTCTCTTTGGTTGTTTCAGGTATAGAGATGCAGCCTTATATTCCAATGGTGTTGCACCAGCTTGTAGAAATAATTAACAGACCCAACACACCAAAGACGTTGTTAGAGAACACAGGTACCCAAAAACTGATCCGTATGTGGTGAAGGGAACTAGAGACTTTTTATAATTATTTTAAAAGCAGCATAGGGCAACCACACCAGAACTGATTCTGTTGCTATGTATTTGGCTTTTATAAGCAAAAGCAACTCTGTTTTGCAGAAGTTCTTACAAGTCTCAGTCTTGAAGAAAACTATCATATATCTAGATTCCTAAAGTTATTGCTTTCTCACTTTTACAATATTTATTTATCTGTTTAAGTATTCTTCCAGTTTTATTTATGTATTGAATTGACAGATGTATGCAGTAACACTTAAAGACTTAGTTCACACTGATTTTAATATATGCATGTCCTTACATGTGTACTGTATATATATGTCTAGTTTCTGAAACAAATGTAATTGGCATATATGAAACAAATAATGAACTTTCTGAATTTACAGAAAATGCACTTTTTAATAAGATAAACTTATAATATTATGCTAAAAAAATCTAGATCTGTGATGGCAGTTTTACAACATAACTAAAATTCTGTAAACCTTCTACTACCTGGTCACTTAACAAATTCCTGAAAAGAATTCTAATAATGGCATGCATGTTTTATGTTCTGGACCACAGGTTTGCCTTCCAAATCAATCCTCAAATGCCTTACTGAATTGAAATTTCTGAGGCTTGTTTCTTTTGCATTTATAGAGGGCATGTTCTGGTATAAAGAGCACCTTCCATACTTTAGCAAAACTTTATTTATAATTATGTTTCTGTTTTACTATTTTACCAATTGAGACTCTCCCCTCCCACCCCTCTGTTTGAAAACTAATTGTCTTGTAAGGAAAGTATGGCTTAGTCATTACACCTGACAAGATTTAAAATTATGCAAATACAGTGGTACAGTTGTATTTTGTTGAGCTAAACAAGGGATTAATTGGAGAGAGATTTTTCAGTGCATATTGTTCCTCTGTTATTCTCTAAACTTAAATGCTGCAGTTTCTCTGCTCCTATTCCCTTCCCCCGTTTGGCATGGAAGGTGAACTTAAAGTAAAAAAAATCCCAGTTGTCTGGCATATTATAGGTACTACTTCTTGCAAAGATAATTTTGAAGCATACACCTACTTGTAGTGAAATACACCGTGGAATAGTATAGCAATAAAAATTCTCTTTCCTCCTGCCTCTGCCCTGACACCCTTACTCCACACTAATGGATGTGTAACACCTGTAACAGACAGGCATCCAGTACTTAAATATTTGCTTCCATCATTGTTAGAGAATTTTTGGAAGCATCCAAACACTGACATTTTTTTTCTTTATTTTTTTTATTTTTTTAATTCTCTGAATAGTTACTTTAAATGTGGATGCATAACTGCAAATAAATGTTGAGTGTGGTGTATTTATTATAAGTTTGTTGTGGGGTATTGTGCTGTGTGCCACTAGTATGTGTAAGAATATCACTGTTTTCTGCTTTAGCTTCCTATGCAGTGAGCTACGAAAACACTTCTATGGAAGCATTAGACCACCTTAAATAAAAGCAATTGTGTAGAAAATAACCAGTACATACAAAAAAGTTGAGCTTTCACAAAGATTACTGTTCCTTGTACAGACTGTAGCTGTGAGAATTTACAGATAAAACTTAAAAATATATTTTCATTTGGAAGTAGCACTTCAAGCGCAGTTTTGTAAGTTAGAAGCGCTGAAGATTTTAGACACTGCATATTGAAATTGAGTAACATCAGGGCAAAAAAGTACATTGCCAGTGAGCTGCAGATGACATGAAGTGAATATATTTCAAACTGCTAGTATATCCTACACCAAACTTTTGTTGGAGAAAGCATCATCTGCTTTATTGCATGTTTCATGAAACTGTTCACAAATGCCTGTTAATTAGAGTGTTGCATAGTATGTCCCTTGAACATAGGTTTCCTTTCTCTGCTTCATATAAATCTGCTGGATTTTAGTATTATTCATGTATTTTGCTTCAAGTGATCTTGATACATTATTCCCCACCCTCTCCTTTTTCTAAAGATTAATCTTTTGTGAGTTGAGCAAACACCATTAAAACACATTTGCATGATGATATTTTCCTTCAGTCTGTCCCTCGGAACAAAGGACCGACCTACCTAATCATGTAATGAAGCAATTTTGCTTTTCATATATCTTTATGCCTTGGTATCAGAAGTCAGATTCTTATACAACTTCTGTGAGGAAGCCTTTTGTGAACAGAAGAAATATTTGCAGTCAGTTGCTGTGAGTTAGCAACCACTTTAAATCGGAGGATTTATGATATTATTTATAATTACAGTGTTTAAAAGACAAATATTTCATGCTCTTTGAGAAGTGTTTCATCTATTTAGATGATGTTTTTAGATCACAGTATTTTCCACGCAAAAGTATTTATAAATGTATCATTACTTATAAAGTAAACCTATTAAAATTTGAATTCTAAATATTGACAAAAAAAAAGTTTAGAATACTTGAATCTAAAATTGAAAATGGTTAATTCCTTTTTATCAACAGTATCCATAATATTACATTTGAATAAAAATTTCAAAACTTATGTTAGGTAAATTTATTGTAAGAGATTACTCTGAAGAGGACAGAATGACCGCTTACATGAGAAAGCCTTTGGATTTTAAATTGTGTTTTTGGTGTTCTCTCATTTACTTCTTTGATTTTTCTTTTACCCTGGAGAGTATACCATATATGTTGCTGCCTCTTATATAGGGGGTGGTAATAAACAGCACTGGTGAAATCTTATGTTTATTATCATACACAGATTCTGTTGGTTTCTGTTTCTGAGTTATTTGTTGTTTTTTCTTTATTTTTTCTCCTCCCCCCTCATTTGCTCATGTCTTGGTTGGCGTTTGGTGGTGTATAACCGTGATTGCGTTACCTTAGCAATAACAATTGGTCGTCTTGGTTACGTTTGTCCTCAAGAGGTGGCCCCCATGCTACAGCAGTTTATAAGACCCTGGTGTGTATTATTCAATCTTTTTTTTTAATCATTTTTCTTCACTCTCTTTCTTTCTTTCTTTCTTCTCTCTATCTCACTTTTAGATATATTTTCAGTTGGTTACAAAATCTCAATCCTTAATCATTGCCAACCATGTGACTAATCTTGTCCTATCAGGTTTGTGAGTTTTTAGTAGCACCGTCATGTATTCTTTATGTTGTGGCTAACGACTAATTTATGCATGGGATAAGATTGTCACATGCTTGCTGTGTTAAAGCTTGACTATGAAAGAGCATTTTAAAATCCACCAGAATGATAATACGATGCATGCAAATACTGTAAAATTTAAACCGTGCATTACTTAAAATTCAGTCTGAGGCTTGAATTGCTGTAAGGAATATATGTTATAGATTTGTTACGTATACAATAGCTTGCTTGCTGCTGTAAAACTTAAATAACTGTTCTGTAAGTGGTATCTGACATAATTCATACTGTGATAGTATTATATGTCCCGCTTCTAATAATGATAGTTTTTATAAATATTACAGATACATGTCTCTTTTGTATTTAATGGAATGCAGGTCACACTTTCTAACTGTATATAGTGCAACAGGAGAACGAGATTCTGTAGATGATGCCTAATGGGAATTTACTAATAAAGACTGCAACAAATGTTTTTCTAAGAGTTCAAAATAGGGTTTCAGATCATCTTAATCAGTGTGACTTATTCCATCAGATACCATGATCTAGTTCTAACTTGGTTGAAGGAAAAAGTAGTGGAGTTAGCTAAGTTTTGCTTTCCAACTTGCTAGGTGCACCTCTCTGAGAAACATAAGAGACAATGAGGAAAAGGATTCAGCGTTCCGTGGGATATGTACCATGATCTCGGTCAACCCCAGTGGAGTAGTCCAAGTAAGATACATGAATAGATCTAAACTTGTTTTCTTTACTCATGTGAAATGTAGTGAAAGCTGCATATGGAGTGTAAAAACAGTTCAGCTTGATGTGATTCCCTGCAGTCCATGATGTAGCCTTATTATGAGGTCAAGGAGGCCAAAATGTTTATATTACTAATGATACATGTCAGGATGCTTCAGTAATTATCACCTAGCAAATGAAAGGAGAAGAGTCTTATTAAATTCAGATTTTGCCTATTAATTACAAAGAATATGTAAGTAATGAACTTTGGTTAAAATAACTGCATTTTGATACTTGTGGGGTTGTAGTCAGGATCTGTATGAAAATCTAAGGTGAAAATTTACATACTTAAACCTATTTTACAGATGTAACCTATGCTTTTAAAACAAGGAACAGGACAAAAACAGTAACCACCCCTTCATTCTTAAAACTTGGGTAGGGAAGATACTGTTTCAACTTTGGATATGTTGCTTAGTCAGTGTGCCAAGGAACATGCATCTCTTTTAAAATAAAAGGTACATCTGAAGAATACAGTGTGACTTGCTCTTTAAAATAATAGGTACATCTGAAGGTACATAAAAATAAAATAAAAGGTACATCTGAAGAATACAGTGTGACTTGCTCTTTAGTCTCCACACCTCCAAAATAAAGTTGTACCAATGTAAGATTTTCTAAGAGGAAAAAGAAGGTTATTTTCCCTCTTCTCTGTCTGTAATTCTTTGTGAAACACAAGAACACCTTGTTTTGAAAATTTCAGTTCATTTCACTTATTCTGTACTTAGCATTTTCCTCTTCTGCTGTCCATTTGTTCTTTCACATTCCATAGGGGGAGGGCATGATCAGAGATTCTCTTCTCTTCATTATCCCATCTCTCTGTCTTTGTAGTTGTTATCCTCAGTACCTACCCAAAAACTTGGGCATCACCAATTTAATGATTAAAGATTTGTGTCTTACTAGTGTACTAGGAGGTAATGCATGACAACGGATGGGGGATTAGGGATTTTGGTGTGTCTTTAGTTTTAAATCTGTGTGATAAACGTTCTCTGTATCCTAGAAAAATCTTTTGGCTCTGCTTAAAGAAACAAAACAGCTTTTTTCCCCAATTGCAAACGTGTGAGAGAGTGTTACAACCGTATTCTTGAATTTCTTGCTGGTTATTAAGGTGATTGATTCTTGAACTTGGTATGTGTACTGAAAGAATTAACGTTAAGACAGATGTGGTGTGGGAGGGGAGAGTTGGAGTTTCAACTGTCATTTTATTAAATCAAAAATCTGATTAAACAAAGGAATTCCTACAATCAGCTGTTTCTGAACACTTAGGCGTACAATAGCTTACTATTATTGTCTGAATTAACTGGAAAATAAATACACAGAATCAAAAGCAGTTGTTAATTATGATTGAAGACCCTACATAGTTCATAGAATGAACATCAACATTGTTTTCAGACATGTAAATTGAGATTTCTAACCTATGTGATTGTTTAATCTTATAGGACTTTATTTTTTTTTGTGATGCTGTTGCATCATGGATTAGCCCAAAAGATGATCTCCGAGACATGTTCTGTAAGGTAAGGTGTCTAACAGTATACCCTAAGGGTAGTTGTTTTGGATCTTTTGGGTTTTTTCTTGTTTTCTGTTCCCACTGTTAGCACTTACTGTATGTGTGTTCGTGGAGGCTTCTTTGCAAGGCCACACATTTTCAGACAAAACAATGTAAAAATCCTGTCCTAGTTAGCCTCTTGGATAACTGGTCTCCTCTGAAGGAACGTCAGGTCCAGAAAATGCACAGCTGATGAGTATTTTCATATCAGCAAGAGGAAAGAGCAAATACTTACAAGCTCAAAAGGAAGTCCAGGATGCAGTCTGTGATGATTGTCGAAAGCAGGCTCAGTGAGTGTTTCTGCACTGGTCCTTCAGCATTGGACACTTGCTTCAGTTAGTCAGATTCCTCTTTTTCAGATTCTTTCGAAGTTGTCTGTGTGGGATCTAATGCATTCAAACTAGACACAATGGTTCTTCGTCATGAGGCATAAGGCCACCCTTCCTTTTTAAAGTTTATTCTGTTGTGCTTTTTGCCATGCAGGAAAGGAGACAAAGCATTCTCCAAGTGGTTGCATGCACATTTTTAGATTACTTCTTCATGAATACGTGATTGCTGTAGTCCAGTTAGGTGTTTGTCCAGCAATAATTGTGCCTTTCAGAAACATTGCAAAAAAACTGCTTGTTTCGTTTTGTTCTGTAGCACTAGAGCTGAGAGAAAATACCACTCCCAAGAGCATGGGTAGAAGAGCTGCCAGTGTTGAAACCTGGTATATGCCCTAAGAATTTTATCACTCTTTATAAAAGCAAGTTATTTGAAGACTGTAGCTGAAGCTCACTTGCTTTAACTCTACTGGAAGATTATTTTAATAGTGCTCCTTTTGTCATACCTGAATGTTCTTAGGTTTTCACTAGTTTCTTGGCAGCTGGCTAATATGACTCTCTGAGTTAGGAAAGAGAGGCAAGCCTGCTTGTAGAAGGTCTCAGGAAGAAAAGCAGTAAGTTAACTGGTGGTACTGTAATGTTGTTATCACTACATCCTGTTGAAGAACAGCTTGCTTGAGAATGTTGTGTTGAGCCTGAACTTGGTGCCATGAGCTTTAACTTTACTGTGATGATATGTTCATGACTGACTATTCCACAATTTAGTATCAGTGACTTTAGAAAAGAAAACCAAAACTTTGGAATGTCGTTGCATAATTTCATATGAGGAGGAGCTGTTTCATCTGCTTGTGTTCTTTCTGATGTTTGCCTTTCAACCTCCTGTTTTAGAGCTAGCATACTAAGAACTGCATCTAATTTTTGTAGTTTTCAGTTAATTTATTATGTTGGAAGGTCCAGACTGAAACCTGCTGGGCTTTTTTCCCCTCTTTCACTGGATTTTGACTACCTTTGGCTGTGGGTCCCCATTCTTTCAAAATGCAAAAAATGTTAACAGCTTCCTTTTCAGTAAGAGCTGTCTTACAGGTTCCATGGTAAAAAAAAAAAAAGTTCTCACAGGATGCTTTTGTATTTGTGCTAGGAATCGACCGGTTTTCATTCTGTTAAACTGCAGTTAACAGCTGGCTGTAGTTTTGGCCCAGCTTTCTTCCCACAACATACTGTACATTTAAAAAAGAAATACGAGTACAGTAATCTTAACGTATATAAACTGTGTCAATTTGTAAAATGTATACCATTCTGAAATGGCCTAACTAGGTTTTAAGTCATTTTGCTCATAAAAAATACATATAGATATGTATACACAGATTAATTTTTGTGGGTAGCTATATTGAGTATGTCACCCTTAAAAGAAATCATTTCAGTGAAGAAAGACATTACTAGACTTCTTTTGTTTCTTAGTACAATTTAATTCAGTATTAATTAAATACAGTAAATTCAATTAAATACAACTTAATTCAGTATTAAATTGGAGAATTCAAATGGACAGATGTACAGCAATATATACAGTTTGCACCTCACTGTATTTGTTGCTAGTAAATAATGTATCCTCTGTTTAGTGATTTCTTGACTTCCCATCTCTCTCTTTTGTAGATTCTTCATGGATTTAAAAATCAAGTTGGGGATGAGAATTGGAGGCGTTTCTCTGACCAGTTTCCTCTTCCCTTAAAAGAGCGCCTTGCAGCTTACTATGGAGTTTAACCTCATGCACTGTAGCTGCAATCCCATAATTAGAGGTAAGCACACATATCTTCCTTGCTAAACAGAGCTATATAACAAACTTCCTCCCTGTTTGCATTACATGAAACATAAATAATTCATCAGACTAGGAATTTTTCAGATAATGCTTCCTATGAGAAGTTAAAAAAAAGGGATGATAGTATACCTAAATGATGGTAGCTGTAGCGAAAGCAAGTGACTGTCTTGCTTTATTTTTACAGCAAAATAAAAAGTGAGTGTATGATATGCACGGTTAATGCATCAAGATAAGGTTGGAAGTATAGGTCAAACAAAGTGCCTGTTCAAGTTTAATAAGTGATGAGTATAATCCTCAAGCCATTATATGAAAGATATGGGCTACTTTATGTCTTACAAATTAGTAATGGCAGATGTGGTCCAAGCAGGACTGTTCCTCTAGGATAGGAAAGAAGTTTGCTAACACTTTAGCCATGAGAAGTCAAACATAATCATAGCTACATATTAGATGATCTTTGCACTGAGTAAAGGATGTTATACTGATTTCTAACTTTACTGTAACTGTAGAGCTTGATGTTTTGGGGAGTTTGATGTGCTTATTCTTGCCATGTTCCATTTTATATATGAATTCAGAATTGTTACAGTTTTCTGCAGAGAGTGAAAAGACCAACAAAGAACAGTGATAGTACTTTCTAAAATAATTATGTCGTTATACCACCTTGGTATCTGCAAGGTGCACAGTGTATGAAGCAAATTTCCCATGTGTGAAGCAGTGTGGTACTATATACTACCCAAAAAAGAGGGCTAATTGTTTATTCATTCACTTTTTATATAAATTTGATATTTGCTGTAGAGTTTTTGTATTAAAATTACGAGTAAACTGTGTAATTCTGTTTTATTGTTGAATGAACAACTGTTTAAAGTCGGCCTAAGATTTTTCAGAGTCAGTAATGTAAGAAATCCTCTTTGAATTGCATGGTGATCTCACTAGTGGATTAAAAATAAATGAATTTCAAACATTTAAATATTTTCCAATGAGGGCATTTTAGTTCTCTGGTAAGGGTGGTTTCCTACTAAAGAGGAATCCAAAGTGATAAAATCTGCCATTATTCTCAGATTGACCTGAGAAGACACTATGCCTTCTCTAACATAGTTGGTCTAACAACATATTTGTGGTTGTTAGTTCAATAGCAGTTATGTTTAATATTCTTTCTCAATGTTATAACTACCTTATAATTTTGTGCTAAAAATGGGTAAGCTTGTTAGAATATATAGGACTGTTCTTACTTGAAATCTAAGCTTAGCCACAATAGTGGAACTGTTATTGTAGCTTTAAAGCATACATTATTGTTTCATGAATAATAATTTACCTGATATAAATGGGCTCTTTTCTTAACATACTTAAAAAAAGAAAATCTATGCGTAGATTTGTTTTTAAGTTAAAGGGTGGCACCTACTGCTTAAAAAAAAAGGCAAAAAAGCTCAGTGTTTATCACAGATCTGTCAGTTAAGGTTCAAGGTAAGTTTTAATTATACTTTTTTTTCTTTTACAGGTCCTTCAGTCTGGGAGACTATGAGGGAGCCTCTGCACCCAGGGAAAATGTTACCCTTTACTGGGGGGAAGGGTAAACCAGTAGGGAATACAGTACAATCCCAACCCTACTGGGAGGGGCGGGAGGGAGGTGTTGCCGTCACTGTATTAAGTCGATGTTGGGAAATGTTTTAACATCTGGAGCCTTTGTGGGTGGAAATCTGTCTCCTATTACAACTCTGCACTGGATGTGAAGAAGAAAAAAAAAAAAAAAAAAAGAATCTAGTCACAAAACAGCACATTTTGGAATACTGTGGGGAATTATACCAAAATAAGAACCATAGAATTGAACCATAGGGATACGTAAAGAGGAAAACTATTTTGCGCACAATAAAAGAAACCTAAGAATGGGGGTCACAAACAGTAAAAGGCTTTCTTTTTTTCTTTTATGTTTTTTAAGTAAGGGTTTTCTACATTATTTCATCCTGCTTGATGGGATTCCTAGGTATTTGCATGTTGATGAAGAACTACACAAATGAAGTTAGTACAGTTAAAATGCAGCTTGTGTCTGTTAGGAGCAGGCACTTGCAGTGTACACTATAGAAACCCCATCATAAAGTAATAAGGTTAAGTTGGACAAAATGAAGCAACCTGCAAGCTGCCAAATGAGTCACTCCTTTCATGTTTAGGATAAGGGGAGGGTCACTTCAAAGGAAAGGTTGACATTTTAATTTTTAACATTAAAAGAATTAAAGTAGTGGATATGATTTAATTATTGTACTTCATTAGATTTCATTTATAGAGTAAGGCATTATTCTTAACGTGCAGTTTAAGGTTCAGGCATGCATTCTGGCTCATAGTGATCAGAAGTAACTTTAATTAGTGGGGAAGTAGCATGCTTGCATCACATAGAGTGAAATTGGTATACATTTACCTATGTTGCGCCAGTTTTGTGTTGCAGTTTACCAATTCAATATAGCCCTGCATTTAAAATTCCTTTTAAGATTCTGTGGATTTTATTTTTATTAAGAATATAGATATAAAGTACTGTAGTTAACAATTAGGCCTTGAAATACCTTTTTAGGATCTGTTAAGAATAAGATTGATATTGTATTGTGTGTAACCTGCACAATGTGGAAAGCTGATATAGCTGTGCAAAATACTTGCCTCTGTGCTGTCAGTGTGATGTGCTTTCTGCATGGTTATATACTAGTGAATTTATCAGAATCTCTAAAAATGAGTTACATGGTAAGACCCGTTAAAGGCTGCATAAATGTTAGTTGGCACGTAAAGACAATTGTAGAAGTTGATGACATGATTGCTCTATTTGTGTTTATTCCCACTCAACATATTCTACGCTTTCTTTTTGTTCAAAGCATGATCTTAAAGAGATGTTTAAGTTGATGGATGTAATGCAGGGTATCTACACTGTATCGGCGCATGTTGGTGGCCCTTTGTGATGTAGTTAAATGCACAAGGGTGCAAGTTTAAAGCTACGGAGTGAAAGTTGGTTTGGATCCTCTTCATTTCATTTGTTTAGCTTTTCTGTTGTGTTTTGTTTTTTTTTTTTCCCCTCTACTTACATGTATTCCTGTGAATAAATCCTTGTTAAGTTAACCCTTTACTTTTCCTTCCATGTGTATTTTCTTATGTACTGTGAATGTGAAATCCTAACTGGTACACTTGATCTTGTGTCCATCTGAAAGTGGCAAGTCTTTAATAATTTAGATTGCCTAAAGAGTATCCCATGATGATAAAGGAAAATGGAGAGATTTTTAACTCTGCTGGTCAGAGGTGAAGCCACACCTTTCCATTTTTCAAGTGCTGCATAATTAATCTGCAAAACAAAATTAAGCCATAACAGCCTTTTTGTAGATTTAGTTTCTCACCTTTGCATTGCAAAATGGATACTGGATAACAGTTCTGGGGGTTTTGTTTGGTTGTGTTTCGTTGGGGTTTGTTTTTGGTTTTCTTTTTCCTTAAGAACTTGCTCTTTGCATGGTTCTGTTCTTTGACTGTTGAATGATTTAGCCATTGCACTGAAGTTGGAGCTGCGTGAGCGTGAACTTATAAATGCTGTTTAAAGAGGTTTGATTTTTTTTTCTTTAAATGCATGGTAGCATGCATGTTTTAAATGCCCCCCACTTCCCTTCTGTGGGTTTTTGTTGGCTTTGCAAATTTTTAATGGGTTATGCCTGAAGAAGAGTTTGAACATGTACTATATGAAGTACATTTGGTAACGCTAGTACATAGTATTTATTTGATTTGGTCAAAATTGCATGTGATAACTTGCTTTCAAATGGCATTGCTTTGGTCACAAATATAAAATTCCTTCTTAACTAATTACTCTGAAGTTAATTAGTAATAGTCACTAAAATCACTTTAAGACCAAATTCTGAAGGGAAAAAAAGAAAAAAACACACCCCCCAAACCTTTAATATAGAATCATAGAATAGTTAGGGTTGGAAAGGACCTTAAGATCATCAAGTTCCAACCCCCCTGCCATGGGCAGGGACACCTTGCTGTATATGTAGCAAGGTGGGGTATCATTTTGGACCCAACTTATTTTGAGTGTGTTTGAACGTTAAGGAAGAGTTTCAGAGAAATTACATTTAAAAGTCTGTAGAATAGAAAATGTGCTCAAAGAATACTGTAGCATAACACCTAGAATCTGAGTTTAACTAAACTTCTTAAATTTCAGAAAACCCCTTTAACCAAATAAAACCACTCCACCTCACCTTGGATTAGCTTAAAATGCCACTTTTGTACATATTTTAATAGGTATTTATACAGATGTGTACTGATCTGGTATAACAGCAAGGAAAATAATTAAAATAAGGCAGAAATAAACAGTACTGGCAAAAATAGTCTTTTGTATCAGTAAGTTCTCTCATGGTGTATTTTAAAGCAAATAAACCATATTCCTAACACATCATATAGCGCAGAGATTTGCAGAAGCCATTTAGGGTATACTGTGAGATAAGAAAAGTTCTGAATCAGCATTAACATTTATAATTCAATTATTGCATCATGGGATATATAAAAAGCATTTTAATTCTTGTGGTGTAGTCTTGACAGTTCTTGAATGTTGACTGAATGTTTCTACTGGTAGAATTGTTTGTCTTTGTTACATTCCAGTGTTTCTGCCTCTTGGCATGCTAAAAGCACGGCTTACTTCATTTGCTCCTTACACACTGAATAAAGTGCTGTTAGTGTGCTAAACTACAGAAATAGCCGCTGCTAAGTAATGGTGTAGATTTTCTACTTGAATACTTTTGTTGTAGGAACCTCAGGAGGTCAGTGTTTACTGGTTTTATATATGCCTTTTTCCTGTTTTAAGTTTCCCTTTTGAAGGATTCTGAGAGTGAAAAAAAGCTGCTGATCAACCTAAGTTGGTAACAGAAAGTGTGTTGAAAATCCTTATAAATGCATCTTTTGGGCAGTTCTAAATTGCTGTTGAATTAGTCTTAAGTGAAGTTCAATACTAAATTTTTTTTCATTACATGTTCAGGAAACAATTTGTTTCATTTACGGGAGAAATATCAGAGTAGTTCATTATTTTAGCCAGTGCAAGCAAAAATAATAAATTTTGTAAGTTTTTTCCAAAGCTTGATTATTTTCTAAATCAATGAATATGTATATATTTAAATTGTAATAAGATAATTCTTATGCTTTAGTTTATTGCTCCTTAAAGCTTGTACTCAGAAGATAACTTTTAGAAGAATGGGTTTAAAGTTTATAATCATTATCAAAAGTTCTGAAGTAGCATAAATTTTGTAATAATATGGATACACACTGTGATTTTATTTTATCTTTTTTTGTTAGGACTTTTATGTTAGCATCAATCTTAATTACTTAGACTGCATATATTGTATAATAGTAAAATGTATATTTTCAAACTTCAAGTAGCTTTCCTCAAGTGAAACTCCTTGCTACTTAGAAATACTCAAATACTAGCTTTATCTCAGGTGAATACTCTTGTACCCTTTTGTTTCTTTTTCATTTTTAGAACACATGCTAACAAAAATGTGTCTTAATTATATCAGTTTATGTATTTCATTCAGACAGCTCCTCTGTCTTAAACTTAATCTAAATTAACCTTTTACTGGGGACAATAATGACTTTTGCTTCACCTATTTTATTCATATTGAATGTATTAACAGATAAGGTGCAAAACCATTCTTCCCTTGAGGAGAATGCATCCATATTAAAAAAACTGAAATATTTATTTCAAACTGCTTTAAATGCAACATTATATTGGAAATAATTTGTTTCTGATTTTGTCAAGGGAAGAAGTTGCAACTTAACACTAACTGCTTCAATACTGTCTTTTTCATGGGGATGATAGATGCGTACAGCTTCTATATAGGGTCTAAAGAGTAAATTTTTGTCTTAGATAAAGGTTAAGCTTTACAGTGAAATGGCAAAACATTCTGCAGTTATCTCAGATGCTGGTGTAGTTTGCGTGCGTATTTGTTACATATTACATAAATATTTCCAGTAACCTCATCTTGGCTAAATAAAGCTTGATCAGTAGCTGTGTGTTTCACTCGCCTATGCATTCTCCAGAATGACTTGCATCCATCAGTCTTCTAGGTATACTTCTCCAATAGAAATTTCGTCATGCAAGCTGATGCTTGATTTTTGCACTTAATGGTTGGAGCAAGCCAGCTTTAGATTATTTTAAATGGGACACTGAGGGGAGTACTCTGGCTGCTCACCCTGTAGAGTATACTCTGCTAGAATAACCATGATGCTTACTTGAATGTACTTACATGAGGGAAGTTCAAAATGGCTCTACAGGATGAATTGTTGTGTGGTGTTACAGTATATTTAAAAATAAGCCGAATCCACATCTCAAAGAATTCAGCACTTACAGTACAGTATCGTTTTTCTATAACATGCTTCTGTCGTGCTACTTTTGCCTTGGGTATTTATTTCCTTATTCTGGGTGAGAAACAAAATTGAGAAGGCCTGGGTGTTTTTTGTGAGGAGAGTGAGTAGAAAAAAAAAAACAAACCACATTGGTATGAGCACGTTCATTTGGCTGTTGAAGTCTCTAGTGTAATCTTTTTTTCATGGGGATAGGTAGTTATGTTGTGCATTGTCTGACGTACTAATACTAGACACGTCTAAAATTTCTAATTGGATGCAATATACAAAATAGTATAAAACTAAAGGTGACTGGATCTTTCTGCTGACAACTTAGGTTGTGTGAGTTTTGCTTGAAAGCTTTAAATATGATGTGTCTGTATCTGCCACAATGTTGGAATGTTTCCTTCAAACATATCCTCCTGCAACCTCTCAAACTGTACTAAATTTGAGTGATATTTCTTGAAGTCTGCCTATGTGCTAACAGAACTTCATTTTAAATAGAATATGGTTTTAATTTTTGATAAGCTGCTGAATTTTAAAGAGTTTTTGGGGCCACCAAATATTTTGGATCATGCAGAGAATATATATTGTACTGTAGTAATTTTGTATTTACATTTGTATGATGTGACATAATAGATGTGAATGTTAATCACTGCTTGACTATGTTAATAAAGTTGTTTAAATATAGATGTTGCATTCCAATTTTTAATGAGAGATTAAATTTTCATATTAAATTTATGTTTTTGCCTGACCCAGTAGCGCACTCTTCTGGTTCACGCATGCAAGTTATGGAGTCTCTTGCATAAGGATTTATATTTGACCTAAACAAAAATTATCTTTGGATAAGTTAAGGAAGTCAGTTCAGTTTAGATGCTTTATGCTCGCAGATTGATGTATAAATAGGAGTGTTGGGTGATAACTGGTAACTGCTTTACTATTGCAAAATGCTGTATTGACTGTATTTTTGTTCCAAACAGCTGATGTTTGCTAAGTCTGACCAAACTGGGGGGATGGGAGGTGAAGGGAGTTACTGTTTGTGCTATCAATAATGTGAATAAAAAAAGTAGCTAACTGGAAATAAACTAAAATTATTCAAGACTTTGCACCAAAACTTGAAGTGGTCTTAGTCTAATTTTATCTAGCTTTTATGGGACTGTGATAATACAAACTATTTAAGGATCTGTCCTTCATTTATATAACTTTCTGATACAGAAGTCTCTAAAATGGAAGTATGAAACTAACAGTAGTAGCTCTCTGGACAAAATCCACCCATGTTGAACATCTTATGTTCAATTCCAATATTTAGCAGTTGATCAGTAGCATGTAGACAATTTAGACAACTGCAAGTGTCTAGCACAGCTTCCATAATGTAATTATTCATCAAAATGCATCTTTATAATTACATATTAATAAAATGTATAGTAAAAATTAATTGCTGCATACTCAGCTGAAACTCTGCTTGATGAAGGACTTCGATTTCTGCCTCTGGAAAGGGGAGAAGGCTGTGGGGTATCTGTTAACAGCAGTGCAGGTGTGTAGAGACCAAGTTGATTAGCAGAAGGAGAGCTCCTGTTGGCTGAGTGTACCAGCGGCTGTGTGGGAGGGCATGGAGTTATATTTTATTTTCCTTCCATTAGCCCTCACCAGTCCTGTGGGATATTGAGGATAGAACATCTTGCTGTCCAGTGTTTTGTTCAAGTCCCCAGCTGTCAGCTTATGGACTGGCCTCTAATTTTGAGTGTGAGGTTA